TTGTGGGAAAATTCTACTTCTACCAGTCCTTCATCAACTTAAACGAAATTGAGTGAATACATCTTATAACCGATTTACTGGTAGTCACGAAAAACAATACTCAATTCGAAAAATCATAAGTAGTTCATACTCAAATTTCTACCATCTTTCTTTACATTCAACATATTCCCTAATATATTAATTTTGATAACCTCTTATCTTCGTTTTAACAGCTCAAGTATCATAATCAGCAAACCGATGCGTTTTATGCCAACCTTTCTCATGTTCACTCTCTGTCCTGTGTTCGGCCACTTCTGACCGATGAACCTGGCTGCATTTACAAGCATTTTTGTGCTCCGATATCCTGTGGCGAAAAAAAGAGACTTTTCACGAACATACGGTCGTCCATAGTGGGTCCTCTTTCGCTCTCAAAGGAGGCATAGCCGAATAAAGTGTCGTCTTAAGCCACTTCTTCTGCACTACCCTGTTTATCTTCTTATAAAGAAGGCCTACCAACAAGATTATGACATGCCAAAAAGTCTCAGCTTGCCCATCTCTGACCAAAATATCTCCATCTGAAAATGTATCTCCTACTAAAGAGATATTATTTTCAATTAAACCTAAATTATGACCATGACACTCAGAGGCTTACGCCTCGAATTAGTCACCCAGACGCAGGTGGGGGCGAATAACGCCTCGAGTAGGACAGATGTTTTGGCAGGATTCGAGTGAAATAGGTGAACATGGGATAGATCAGACGGATTTTACGGAGCAAGAGGGAAACTGGGATAAGACTAGCGAAGAGGACTGCATAATAATAAATCAGACTCTGATCAAAATATTCTGCACAAGGATGAGGTGAGGGGGGCGAGAACGAGACTTGGGGATTAAAGGTGTCATGTCGCTCAAAGGAGCACACCATCCTACATCAAAATAAACACGGTAAAATTGTAATAGTCAAGGTATGAAAAGATGATACCGGAAACGCGAATAACTTAGGGCAGAAGGGGAGCTACCACAATTTTTTAGCACAGTATCGCCATCCTAAGCACCACACAGCTACTCGTCAAAGAGGCGGAAGGGGAGATACCACAACTGTTTAACATACGTTTGGTCAAAGGATCGGCTTCACTTGTCTCTTTGACGAGTAGCTGTATGGTGCTTAGGATGGCGATACTCACTGACGATGCCAACTTGGATGCCGGCGAAATGTCTGGGAATGTTCCACGTCCACGGTTGAACTTTGGAAATGATCATGCAGACAATGGACCC